TATAGTGTTACTATGACTCAAAATCAACTCTACAGCAATGGGTGGGTATTGTTGTTTTTATTAGATGACATGGAGTCAGCTCTGGCTCATGGCAACCTTATTTATAACAGAACAAAACATTCCCCAGTCCTGTGCCATCTTCCTGATTGTTGGTATTCTTGAGTCCCTTGTTGTGGCCACTGTGTATTTTGAGTGCTCTCCAAACTAAGGACTCATTTTCCAGCACTATATTGGACAATATTCTGTTGTGATCCATAGGGTTTTCATTGGCTAATCTTCAGAAGTAGATTCTCGGTCTTTTCTTCCCACTCTGTCTTAGTTTAGAAGCTCTGCTAAACCCTGTCCGTGGTAAGTGATCCTACTGGTATTTGAAATACTGGTGGCATAGCTTTCAGCATCATAGCAATGCACAGGCCACACAGTATGACAAACTAACAGACAAGTGGCAGTGGGTCAGTTACATTACTGATATGTTTATCAATGTCAGCCTCCAAAATCCATTACTGTACTATGCTGTAATCAGGTCTACCTCTCTCTTGATGACAATGCTTTGTAGCAGCACAGTCCCTGGCTCCAAATCCTATCTCCACACCTCATCACCTGTATGACTTTGCATACATAACCTTACCTTCTAGAGCTTTAGCATTCACATCTGCAGCCTGAAGGTAATACTTACCAATAGGATTATGAGGCTTTAGATAATAAATGTAAAGCACATAGAATACTGCCAATTCCCTTTTCTCCAAATGTCTAGCATTTGAACTTTATTAATTCCTCATTTCCGAGTTGGATTTGCTTCTTGCCACATAAGTATGTCAGAAACTAAAAACAGCAATTTAATTTTGCTTTCAACGTTGTTTTTTAAGAATGTCCAGCTGCATGCTTCATTCTAAATATTTTTTGAGGATCATCACTTTTCAGCGAAGATATGCCATCATGATGCTAGAGTTTTTTCATGGGAGATGTCGTGAAACTCTGTTAAAAATCTCTCTTATGTAAATGGAAATTTTATACATAGTACTAATAAAACCAAGAATCATTAAAAACTTAAATCTAGAAATTTGAAACTTAATAGTCTTACTTTCCCTTTTAATAATCCAGTGGATTTCATCTGACTTCAGACTCTAACACGTAACAGTGCTGGAGAATAAATATGTTCTTGTGTAGTCTCTAAAACGTTGATGGGACTTCAAAACTATGTGACTCAAGAGTCTGAGCTCAGTAGGACCTTAGGATGTACCAAGTTTGTCTCAGTGACTGAACAGTGAGCAAGGTTATGTCACTCACTAACTTCGGCCAACCACATTCGGTGACCAAACGAAAAAGTTCATTCCACATAATAACATCAATTATTGCTGTTGTTAGCTGCAGTTGAGTTTGTCCGGACTCATGATGACCCCACACACAACGGAACGAAAAGCTGCCTGTTCCTGCACCTTCCCCATCATCAGCTGTGGATAGGACTGTTGTGATACATGGGGTTTTCACTGGCCGATTTTTGGAAGTAGATTGCTAGGCCTTTCTTTAGTCCGTCTTGGTCTGGAAGATCCACTGAAAACTGTTTAGCATCATAGGAACATGCAGGCCTCCAATGAGAGATTGGTGGTGGCTGCGCATGAAGTACATTGGCAGGGAATCAAACCCCAGTCTCCTGTATGGAAGGTGAGAATTCTACCACTGAAGCACCAATGCACTGATACCAATAGCCAACATTTTTGGAGCAGGCTACTTACTAGGCACTTTTCATACATCCTCTTACTATTAACCAGGGAGAACATATTGTTAAGTTCATTGAAAGATGAGCCATTTTCTCAAGTTCAAACAGCAAATGGTGAAGCCAAGATAAGAATTCAAGTCTGTATGACCCACGGCCTGTGCTTACAATACTCACCTTGGCGCACCCTTGGTGTGCACGGGGCAAAGAATGAGCTGCACTTTGGGGGCGTGGGGGGAGAAGATGTAAATGAGGATGATAGCGTTTCATGAAATCATTGCTACCTTTTTACAAACTGTCCGGGAATCGAGAATCTTTGCCTCAGGCATTCCCAAGGGTAGCCCTGTGGCACTGTGAGTAAACAGAGCCAGCCCTGCTTCAGGAATGCTGCCACGGAGGCTATTAGACATAAAATTGGAGCCCCTTGTTTGTTTAGTCGACAGTCTTAGTGTAGAAGCCAGAGGGGACTGACAGGCTGGGATCCTGCTCTCAAAGCGCCTGTAGCCTGCCTGCTGTTACAGAGAGACAGGCAGCCAGGTGGAGGGTCACGTGTCAGTAAGTAATCACTAAGAAAAGCAACTCTCCAAAGGGCAGATTGACACATAGGGTCAGGACGCCCCACACACGTACGCAGATGCCTTTGCATGTGTGTGAACCCATTACAAGTACCTATTAAGAGCTGTCAAACATGATCAGGTATCTCTAATTAAGTGCCTAGGCCAGTCAGTATGTACACACATATGCAACTGTTCTTTCCTACCCACTTGTAACTTGATAAACATTTTCTGTGGAATTTCATGTTAACTTATTTACCTAGGCAAATAAATAAAGTACGTGTTGAAAGGATTTTATTTTTCCCTAGTCCACTTTTGGTATATTCCAGTAGACATTTTTATGTCTCATACACATAAAATTTTCTCCCCAACTACTCATGTAGCAAAATTAGAATTTAGGATCTAGGGATGGCTGAAATGTCACTTAATTGTCAACTGTCTCTAGTGAATTTTTTGTTTCAAATGTTTTGGCTGCATGAGCCATAAATACATTGCATCGAGCACTACTTCTCTTAATTTTTAATCCTGTGCGCATTTCAAGGGAAATTTAATCCATCTGGCTCCAATTCACTTAGTCTTAACTCATCAGAGTGGTACTTTGTAATTGTTGTTTGGTGTCCAAAATGCCTTGTGGTTTTTTTAGATCTTTATAAAGACTCCCTCTGCTGCCACCCCAAATGGCCCCACCTCACACAACCCCAGCCATAAGCCGGAAGTTATATTTTATTTACATGACATAGTTTCAAATGACCAGAAGTCTGTACTTGCCAAAACGTCAGAGCTCTCAGCCCTCCGTGGTCATGATTTTGGAGCGTGGTAAAGCGCAAGGCATCGAGTGGCAGGTTGCTACGCATTGTGCGTGCATAGCAGGGCCTGGCTGTCCAGGAGGCAAGGCCACACACCCTGTACTGTCACTGGCTTGGGGTCAGGGTCTGCATGGATGTCCCTAGGCACTGTGAGCTGTTTTCTGGAACATCTTTCATCTAACACTCCACACACATGACAATACTGTCAATATCTCCCCTGTAACACATACAGACATACATGGCCCCAAGACAAAGCTTTCTCATCATGCATAGATTCTCTTTACGATTACTTCAAAACAAGACCTTAATTCAATAAAGCCCTCCTGTATCAGGGAAAAGAATCCCCTCAGCTACTCCAAATTCTACCACTAGGAAATTTTCTTCCATCTGCTCAGGCCTTGGTGCTTTTCTAAATCTCTCAAAGAATAACCACAGAATACTTAAATATCTCTCATGATAAGAAGAAAGCAGTCTATCATTTCAAATGAAGTCATATAATTTTAGCAGTGGAAGTGGTCTTAACAGATCACATACTATATGACCCAGCAATCCCAATCCGAGGTATATACCCAAAAGAATTGAAAGCAGGAAACACAAACACAAACTTGTACAACAGTGTTTAATTCAGCACTATTCACAATAACCTAAAGGTGAAAACAAACTAAATGTTCATCAACAGATGACTGGATAAGCAAAATGTGGCATACACATACAACGGAATACGACTCAGCCGGAAAGAGAATTGATGTCAATTGATGTCTTGCCACCACTTGGATGAGCCTTGAAAACATTATGCTGAGTGAAATGCCAGTCACAAAAGAACAAATACTGTATGATCCCACTTATATGAAATAGGCAAATGCATAGAGACCAAAGTTTATTAGAGCTTAGCAGGGGTGGGAGGGAGGGAGTCATTGCCTAGAGGAAATAGAGTTTCTATTAATGGTGGTGAAATAATTTGGAAAAGGATAGTGTGATGATTGTACAACATGATGAACGTAATCAATGTCATGGAACTGTACATATAAAAATTGTTGAATTAGCAAATTTTTATATATATATTTTCTACCACAATACAAAAAATCACATAATCTTTAAAATGTCAATTATCAAAATCTCTGGGAATGATAAACTGTTCAATTTATTTCTGTATTTGTTATTTCTTTTAAATATTTGGTGGTGTACTCGTGACTTTAGCCTACTTGTCCACTCACTAACCATTCCATAAACATTTACTGACCACCTACATGGTATCAGACCCTTGGCTAGGCCCTGAGACTTCCAGAGGACAAGTCTATCCTTGCAAGAGCGGCATGTGCATTGCCTGTCTCATGTGTTTGGGGGTGGTGGGGGGAGACAGAGCAGATCAGAGGTAAAGGGCTGCCTGCCCAATTTTCACAAGCACAACACCTTGCTTTCTCTTAAAAATGGTCTCCTAGACTTAAAATCATTCTTCTTTCCAACATCAAAGACCAAATGCATGAACATTTACATAAACTCCAGTATTCCAGATACCACAGTGCAGCATTGCATCTCAACCCTCTATATGCTGAAGATTTTACTGGTGTTTTTATGTCTTAATGTAAATATGCAATCCTTAGAAGTGAGAAGGGAGTAATCCATCACTCACAACTTTGTCCTTGTGATATTTACTTATATCAGTTTGAAGAAATAGAAGGTTTACCTTTTCTAAACTGACGTTTGCTAGTTAGACCATCTCCTGTAACAACTGCATTTTACCCTTATACTATAAAGGAAATGTTCTTCAAGCTGCTGATTCATATTGCAGTGAGGTCATCTGAATATTTCGGACCTCGAATAGAAATCATGCTGTGAAAAGAATGAGTCTAGCTCAAAGCAGACAAGCTGAGAGCTTATCTTGCCAGGACATAAGCTCCCCAGTGGGTGGAGGAGATGGTCATTGCTGCCTTTCTTTCCTTCTGCACTGAAGTTAAACAGATGCGGTTAGTCACTGTGCGAGGGAGCGTGTGGAAATGTAAGTACTCGTGTTTATATGTGGTTGCCAGGTCTAAATCAGCCAGGCAGTAATTTTTCTGGGAGCCCAATATAGGTACTAAATTTTGCACTCACCCACCAAATGGGTACACATGCCCCTTAATCTGTCTTCCTGCAGGAGGCCTCCTCTGGCACCGTCTAGCCTGAACCTGGGGCCAGCCTTTCACGGGAGCCCCTTCCCGTGAATTATAGCCTGCAGCATGGGGGCTGAATAGAAAACAGCCTCCAGAAATTCAACTGGAAGGTCTGACCGGAATTCAACCTAGTTTTGAGAATGGCAGGAAAGCGTCTATTATTCTACTTCTTTCTATCTGCTGTGAGGCAGCGCGGCGCCTGGAGTCTGACTGAGCTTAGCTCACTTCCCTTGACTTCCGAGTCACAGCCACAGTGCCTCCTAAAGCCAAGTATCTCACTCCTGAGGCTCACTACACTTCCTGATATAGGATGCACTCGCCTGGCTCCTGGTGACCTTAAACACTAATAAAGAAGTCATAATATGACCTCAACAAGTCTTGGAGGCCAATCAGAATGTAGATGATTGACGGGGAGAGCTTTCAGTTATCTACTGTTTGTTTCGACACTTTAGCGTGGTTCTTTTTATTAGGATTGTTTGTGGGTAGGAGGTTTAAAAACACATTACAGGCATTGCTCTCCATATGGTTGAGAGTTAATCCCAGGGAATGACAAAAGAATCTATTTGTTAAAGACTGGAAGCCGGCAGGCACCAGCTACAGTTTTGCTCTTTGCTCGTTCTTCTCCAGGATTGCTGGAAGGACGGTAATGCACTTTTGGAACCAATTTTCGAATGTGGATTTTCTCCAGTTCTGGGCATGGGGTTAGGGAGCGAATTCTCTTGTTTGCACTGCTGGCTGCTTTGGTCATCTCTGCTTGCCATCCCTCAAGTATTGTTATCAAAGTGAGAAAGATCATGAGTCCACAGTCCTTTCTTCTTTTAATCTCTTTATATTTCTTTCAAAATAAAGTAAATGTTTGGTCCAATGCATAATGTGGATCTATGATTTAAAAATCCACTTAAATTATGAATCAGGACGGGGGATCATTGAACTCCTCTCTTACGTTTGTCAGTTGTCACATTTCAGTGTCTTCTTTAAGCTCAAATTCCTTTTTTTTTGAGGCAGGCTTTTTGATATCTTCACTATTTCTATCCCTGTCTACTTAATACATTTAGATTCAGAAGGTCAAATTAAATCACACCGGGCAGAGTGGCAGGCTACCCAAAGGTTAGTTGCCTTTCTGTATTTGAAAAACCATTTGCTGTGGAGTGGATTCAGACTCATGGCGACCCCATATGTGCCAGGGTAGAACTGTGCTCCATAGGATTTTCAATGGCTAATTTTTCAGAAGTAGATTGCCAGGCTTTTCTTCCAAGTCACCTCTGGGTGGACTCAAACCTCCAACCTTTCAGTTAGCAGCCAAACTGGTTAGCCATTTACAACACCCAGGGACTCCTTTGTATTTGAAAAACGTCCATTAAATAATCAACATGCAAAGGATTCTTGTGAAACACACCCTAGAAGTTTTAGTCTGCCATCCTCAGGGAGCAAAGGCATAGGGTGATATATCACAGGAATGACCAGGAATGATCAGCCTACTTGGGCAAAAGCAGTTGGGTTCAGATTTCCCCAGACAGTGTACCAGGGCCTGCTGGAATGTCAAGGTTACTCTCCATGATAGCAGCTAGGGGCTGGGGTATGCTGCAAACATTCCTGGCTTTTTGTTTGCCTGTCATGAGTCTATCACTTATTGAGCCCTTCCTGAACTTATTTATAATCTTTTATTCTCTACTATGTCTTGAGGTAGGAGCCCTGATGGCACAGTGGTTAAAGCAACTGACTGCTAACAGAAGGGTTGGAGGTTCGAAACCACCAGAGGCTCCTCAGGAGAAAGATGTGGCAGTATCCTTCCATACAGATTTACAGCCTTGGAAACCCTATGGGGTAGCAATGAGTTAGAATCGACTTGAAGGCAGTGGGTTTGGTATTTTTTGGGTTTTTATGTCCTGAGGTAATAAGTTTTCAATTTTAATATGTGCTAAGTGCATGCTTTTTGTCTTAGTTATCTGGTGCTGCTGTAACAGAAATACCATGAGTGGGTGGCTTTAACAAACAGAAATTTATTTTCTCACAGTTTAGGAGGCTAGAAGTCTGAATTCAGGGTGCCAGCTCTAGCGGAAGGCTGTCTCTCTCTGTAGGCTCTAGAGGAAGGTCCTTGTCTCTTCTGAGCTTCTGCTCCCGGACGATCTTCATGTGGAATGTCATCTATCCTCTCGCATCTCTGCTTCTCTGGCTTGTTTGTTTAATCTCTCTTATATCTCTTAAGAGATTGACTCAAAACACACCCTACCCTAATCCTGCCTCATTAACACAACAAAGAAAACCATTCCCAAATGGGATTATAACCACTAGCCTAGAAGTTAGGATTTACAACACATATTTTTGGAGGTCACAATTCAGTCCATACACTTTTCTTTTCTTCATCTTATCATTGCCTCTTTCCATTTTAAGATAGACACTGAATTTAGTAATTTGATGAATAAATTATTCTAAAAGTTCCCTTCAAGGTTTTATAAATTTCTAGTGTATTTCTCTTTAATATTTACTTTTCTGTATTGAGGAATTCTACCACTTTTTAGTCTGTTCTATTAGATTCAGATTCAACTAACACTTTTAAGTGCCCACTGTGTGCTCCGAACTGTGCAAAATTCATTCTCACATAATGATAATAATAATATCAAACATTTATTATAACCTTACTGTGGGTCAAGCACTATTTGAATACTTATGTGAGTTATCTCATCTAATTCTTACAACAATCCTATGACAAGTTTTATCTCATTTGCTAAAAATAACCTTATATATATATATATATATATATATATATATATATAGTGATCCTTACTATACTAGGCTCAGAGAAGTTTAAGCACCTTGCTCAAACCAAGGAACAAGAACCAAGATTCACACCCAGATCTTCACCCGTGTATAGCATCCTCCATCCATTTTAGCTGTATTGCACAAATTCATAGAAAACTAGCTTTAATTCCATTGGGTGCTTGCTTCAGCTAACTAATTCTTAGAGCTGAGTTGTTTCCAACGTATTTTATAGACTAAGATTTTAAGGTAAATTTCTAAATGATTCTTTTTCTGGTCAGTTGCAGATTGATATTGACATGTAGAGAAGTTAACCTGATCCAGTGTCTGAGTAGAACACAACTGTAATTAGAGAAGAACTGACTAACCACAAAACACATAACCTGGTATAAATATACTTTAATTCTCATCAACTAGAAGGTTACAAGAAGCCATGGTGGCAGAGCGGTTAAGTGCTTGACTGCTAATCGAAAGGTCAGGATTTAGAACCCAGCAGCCACTCATCGGGAGAAAGACATGGCAGCCTGCTTTCATTAAGATTATAGCCTCGGAAACCCTATAGGGAAGTTCTACCCTGTCCTGTGTAGTTGCTGTGAGTCCGAATTGACTCGATTGCACACACCAACAACAACAACAGAAGGTTACGAATTCTGTATTTTACACAAATAGTTAATGCAAAAACATGGTTGGTACTGCTGGAACCGACTTTGACTTGTTGTGTTTGGTTGTTCACACTTTGGTTAGGAAATATTGTGAAATATTAGTGACCTTCTATTGAAAGGAAATTCTCCGTAAAATAATCTGGAGCAAGAAACTGAAATGAAGTATTTAAAATTATTTAAATATGTGCATGTTCAAAGGGCTTTTCCTTTCACTTTCCTTTAAATTCATGCCACTTCCTTAATCCTTTCTTCCAAAGACTTATTTTCCATCCTTTTAATCACCTTTGAAGGCCCTCCAAGTTCTTTCTTTGTTTCTCTCAAATTGTGAAGCCCAGAAATGGACACAATTTACCAACCTTGAGTAAGAAATGGAAATTATTTAAATGTTCTTACATTCTCCTCTTATATTCTAGATTCTCCATATCATGCTTTCACCCAGACTAAAATTTACAAATGCGTGGATTAGTTTTCTTCTTGAATTAGATTTGGTAAAATTCTCATCTTCTGTGAAGGAGAAGTTCAGCCAGAATGCTCCTTAGAAGCAATGATGGTGAGACTTTCCCTCACATACTTCAGACATGTTATCAAGAGGGACCCGTCCCTGGAGAAGGACACCATGCTTGGTAAAGTAGAGGGTAATTGAAAAAGAGGAAGACCTTCAACGAGATGGATTGACACAGTGGCTGCAACAATGGGCTCAAACACAGCAACAATTGTGAGGATGGCACGGGACCGGGCAGTGTTCCGTTCTGTTGTACACAGGGTTGCCATGAGTCGGAATTGACTCAATGCGCCTAACAACAACCACATGCAGGAGACCCAGGTTTGATTCCCAGCCACTGAACCTCATACACAGCCACCACCTGTCTGTCAGTGAGAGATTGCATGTTGATAACGCTGAAGAGGTTTCAGCAGAGCTTTCAGACTAAAACGGACCGGGCAGAAAGGCGTGGCGATCTACTTCCAAAAATAATCCAATGAAAACAACAACCTGATCCTCAACCAATCATGGGGATGGTGAGCATTTTGTTCCATTGCGTATGACGTCTCCATGAATCAGAGGCCAACTTCACAGCAGCTGACAACAACAACCTTTATTTCTCTCTTAATCTCAAAACTGGACCGCTTTTGTTTTCGTCTGCCCCTCAGTATGGAGGTTATCTGCATGCTTTATGTGTTTCCTGGGTTCCCCTACCTAAGACTTTCACTTTCAAAATGATTCCAGGATCATAACCTGCAGAATAAAACATTTTACCCAATTTGCCACAGTGACCCAGTAATAATACCCCTTTCTGAGTTTGTAGCCAAGTCCTCAAATATAACTGGCACAAATTTTCATAGGGAAACAACATCATCTGTGAAGCACTCTGCCATTTGTTTTTTAAATCAGAAAATTTGATGTCATTTGCAGATGAGAAAACTGGGCTTGATGAAGTTGATTGCTACAATGACGCAGTCGGCTCTGCCTCAACTCCTTTCTATCTGAAGGGAGGACGGTAGAGACTACATAAACACACAATGAGATTCCTGCAGCAGGTAAGTGCAAAGAGGAGGGCTAGCAGCTCTTGCCTTCTTGCAGGACTGCTCTCTACTGCAGTATCAGCAAAGCTCACCCTTGAATCTCCAAGAGCTTGTTATTCAAAGACGTTGATCCAAACACAGAGTCTAATGTTGTTTGTCTCTTTAAAAAACACACATCAGGAAGAAAGCCCTAAGGTCTCTTGTGAAAATGTCACTGAAATGTTTCTTGATGATTTTTCCCCCAAATATGTTTTTTCGTTGACATTTCACGAAGTATTAGCTGAAATGCTAAGCTAAATTTTTAGCCATCTTTGTATGCATTGATAATTAATAAATTGATTTCTACTTTTGGTTTTATAAATCTGTGTAGAACAGTTACATATTTCTGTGTTTGGTTATATGAATTATAGTGATAAGGGACTATTAAACCCTGATAAAGTACAGTAATTATTTCCGCCTTGGCCGTAAAGATTATTCCAAGGATAAACAGAGGTTTCTTAATGGAATTTTGATCATTTATATGTATCAAAATAAAATTTTTTTTAAATTTTCAAATATATTACAGGAGCCAAAATTGGATCTGTCGGTTTTAGTTTTTGTATATATTTGCTTTCTGTGGCATTTTTTCAGACTGTGATTGTTTCATGAAAAGAGAACATTTTTTCCAGGTAGGGAGGGGTTTCACTACATTTTATCTTAGGCAAAGCTTATTAAACCTATTGAAACCTATTGCTGTCGAGTTGATTCTGGCTCATAGTGACCCTATAGGACAGAGTAGAATTGCCCCATAGGCTTTCCAAGGAGCGACGGTGGATTTGAACTGCTGACCTTTTAGTTAGCAGCCATAGTTCTTAACCACTGTGCCACCAGGGCTCCCAAAGCTTTTGAGTCTTGGCAATAAGAATTCCATATTTCTCCAGAAAAGTAAAGATGTTTTATCTAAAAGAAGCTTCAGAAATTACCTATATTGGCATTGCTCAGATTATGCTCTGATGAATTCTAGGTGTCACTCGGAGACACCTGAGGATAGGACCAGGAAAAAAGTTAGAGTCAGCTGGGATGAGGGAGGGTAGAGATGGTTTATGCAATACCCAGGCATTCAACCAGAGCAGCTTACTTTTCTAATCTGTTTTACCTGTTGGACTTCTATATAAGGTCTCGTTTGAAGAAAGGTCCATGCACTACCAGGAATATTAATAATATTATTAATAATAAAACAGACTTGAAATCAATGATCAAAAGCCTAATTTTATAAGCAAGAAAACTGAGGTTGCATAGAGAATAAATGACTTACTCAAGGTAACCCAGCTAGTAAATATTTGGCTGAATTAATGATCCCTAAAAATTAAAAGGCTATGTTCAATTTAATCAACATTTATCAAAGTCCTACTAAGTGTAAGGTACTGTGCTAGGTCTCCAAGGAACAAAGAAAATAAGACACAGTCCTTAGATAAAAACTCAGAATAAAAAGCTGAAGAAAAATACACTCAAGTTCATCCCATCCAACCTACTTGTGTTAGAGTTGAGTAGCTTTCTCAAAGTTACACTTCAAGTAAATGGCAGAATCAGGACATAAACCTGAATCTTCTCACCCCGATTATAATACACATTCCACTATACCAGTATGCCCCAGATTTTGTTCCTGAATGCCTAGTTTCTCAAGATGATCCTCCACTTGAAAAATCCAATGAACATTTGCCTTTTAAAGGTTCTGAAAAGTTTTACTGTACAGAAATGTGCTTAGACTACAGTTCCAAAAATTACTACTATGGAATACTATTCATGTCACACTTATTTATATCCCAAAGAACACAGTTGGAGAAATTCTGCACTATGCCTCTCCTCCCCTAGACTTTACCAGATTCTAAACTAAAATCTAGTAGGGTCTTCTATTACAAGCCACATTTCCACAGTTTACAGATAAATGGGGCTTAAGAAATGTGATCTGAGTGACAAGGGTTTTAGATCGAATGTACTCTTTATATACACGTATTATATTTGAATGTTACAGAAAATATTATATACATATGTCCCAATAAGTGTGAATCAAATGTAACATATAAAGTGTTAACTATGTATTATTTTATCCTTATAATCAGTTCAAATTTATTTAGTATCCATCATGAGAATTTTAAAGCATATTTTCATTCTTCCTAAATATAACACATGTATTGTAATTCACTGGAAATGTTGAATTAATCTTAGAAAAACAATCTTAGTACGATTTACCAATACCTTCTTGCCCAGTTTTCAGAGATAAGATGACTTTTCTGCAAAATGAAAAGCAGTTTCCTTTTCATTTGAAAAATATACATCTCTGTGCATTTTGTTTTGGTCAGAATGCTAAAAATAAAAGGGAATAAATGTAAAATGTTTCCCAAAAATACTACTTAAGGTACACCAAACCAAAATAACACTGTAAATCTTGAGAGAGAACCTGTTCTTGCAAGATTTGCAGACCAATTTTTCAAGATCAGAAGTGTTTATATAAGCTCACAAAATCATGGATCTTTTCCCAGACTAAAGCTCTAACACTTCTGAGATTGGCCCATCACTAATATTTACAATATTTTTGACATTTAATGGGATGGACTCATAGGCCTTTATGATAGGCTGGCTTCCTAATATGATGGAGTGCCAGAATACTTTGCTGTGTGTGAAAGGCAATCAGATGGCACTGGCATTTTGCAACAGGAAGGAAATAATTTGTAGGTATGATGAGCCTGTTATATTTTGCCAGCTTTGTTAGTTGAGAAACATCATTGGGCACCTATTAGTATAAAGACGGCTGTGTTGTACACCTGAGAAGCACTCCTTCCCAAGTGACCTGAGACCTGTGTTTAGATGATTTTCTTTCCAGGAGTCTTACATTTCCTTACAGAAAACTTTTAGAAACAGGCTCTCAAGTGTGCTAATTTTCTTAACTTTTTATGAGGCTGACATCTTTAACCCTTTATAATAAGGCTTTTCAACATCATTGTCCTTGCCAAGTCATATAAAGTAAAGTATATCCTGAGCTCTGTGGTAACATATCTCTCTAATAATCCATTGATCCATTGTGATTTTTCTTTTTCTTTCTTTTTTTTTTTTTTTTAACAAAGTCTGGTCATTTCTAACAGTGCTTCTGAACATTATATAATAATTGTACCTTCATTTTAGTAATAGGATAAAGCCAATGGATTACTTTAGCTTCCACTCAGATATGGTATCTCCTTGGACACTCAAGTATGACTGTGTATGTATAAGTTCATTTTTTTTTGCTTGTTGCATTTGATGAGTCTTTACTCTCATTTTCCTCAGTTCTGTCCTTACAGCCCTTTTAAAGGGTTGTGGCAATTTGTACTATATATAATTTTAGAGTTGAGAGAATGGAGGTACTCAGAGCATGGGACCAGGGATGAATTACCCAATAAGCAAGGTATGCACGGGCTTACTTGTGCTTACTTACTAATCTGTAGTGCACTTACTAATCACTTGTGCACTACAGATTAGTAAGCAAGCACTAGTAAGCCCGTGCATACCTTGCTTAATATAAGCCCACGTGTACCTAACTTACTGGCTAATCCACCCCTGCATGGGACCAATGTGGTGATGGATAGCACAGGATTGGTAATTATCCTCCAGACTCCATATCCTCTTATCCTGGATGAGGTTCCCTCAGAATGCCATTACTTTCTTTCCTGAGTTAGTTAGGACTTTGCAGATAGTTTTGAAATAATCAATGAGATATCGTAAGTGCTCTTTTACCCACCAAATTAAGATTCTCCTCTGAAATTATTATTGTTGTTCGGCTCCTTGTAAGAGATCCATTTCCCTGGATTGTAAGAGTTCACACCTGCAACATTATGCTCAAGGTTCTCCAATCCTGAAAGCAGGGCTTCGAACTGGTTCGGTCCAGTTCAACACCCTGCTGAGAATTTGCATTTCAACTCCAGATGTACTGAATCAGAATTAACATTTTAACAAGATCCCTAGGTGATTCTTATATACACATCTACTATTTAACAAGATCCCCAGGTGATTCTTATGTATGCATAAGAATCATCTGGTACACATAAGAATCACCTGGGGATCTGGTTAAACGGTAGATTCTAATTCAGTATATCTGAGATGGAAATGCAAATTCTCAGCAGGGGGTCAAACTGGAGCAAACTGGTTCAAAGCCCTGCTTCAAAGCAATTGTGTGAGATCAGGTGTAAGGGCTCTGCTTATTGTGACAAAGATAGACGAGATATAAGTCCTGCTCTCAGGGAGCTTCAATCTACTTGTGGAATCAAGACAAACACCAGTATAAGCACTAACCCACTGCCATCAAGTTGGTTCCAACTCATAGCAACCACATAGGGTTTCCAAGTCTGTAAATCTCTACAGAAGCAGACTGTCACATCTTTCTCCCGCAGAGCTGCTGGTGGTTTCAAACCACCGACCTGTCTGTTAGCAGTTGATTTCTTTAACCACTGCACTGCCAGGGCTCCTCAATACAAGCACTACTGCTTATCAATCATTAGTTAATGGTATAGGGTCACTGTGAGTCAAAATCGACTCGATAGCATTGGCTTTGCTTTTTTTGTTCTTATTATAAAAGAAGAAGAAAAACAAGGAGCTTCTGCAGGAGCAGGGTTTCAGATGCTTATATTGATCCAAAAACAAAGTCGAATAACTGTGTGTTTCCACCTGCCCTCCAGAGAATGGGAGATCTCAACCAAGCAAGACTATGCTCATTTAACATATCAACCTTTTAAAGCCAAAAGCAAGGCTCTGCCCCCTCTGTCCCTCCGTCTGTGCCCCAGCTCCTTCCTAGTCTGGTATCACTGTCATTCTTCCTGAGGCAAGTGTTCTTTCTCCACCATCATCTTCAGCAGTGTCCAAGGCTTTCTCCTTTCTTTTTCTTCCCTGCCCAAGCCTAGCTTTTTATATAAATCTGATCTTTCACTTCCCAGAGTTCTGCAGCAGGATGAAACAGGGACCAATTTAAAAGAAGAATGGAAGTGAGCACACCAAGTAACAATAACCCCAATTGGGGCTTTTGTCCCCCAGTTCATTAATGTGGCTGATAATTTACAACTTGCAGTCCTGTAACATGGGCTTAAGCTATTTCCATAGCAGCTTCCAGGTGACCCGGGGGCAGTGCTCGGCAGTGAGACATTTAGGTGGCAAACAAGAGCAACCCGCCTGGAGGTCCAGCCCTGTCAGAATGTGTCCTGTGAGGCAAGGCTGCCAGTTGAAGGGAATAATTGCAAGGGGCTGCCTGACTGCCATAGCAATAGAAACCTAACCCAAGTGTTTTCAGGTAACTGCCAGCTCTGAGCCTGGCTGCCTTCCATGGGGCCCCACCGCACAAGGTCCTGTGTGAAGTGGGCGTTTTACAGCAAGTTACAGCAATGCAGCTATTTGCATTAGAACTTAACCCAGGTATGCCAGACAGCTGTGCCAAATCACGTCTTACTGTTTCATTAATTCAAAAGAAACCCGTATTAAAACAAAACAAAACAAAAAAATTTGAACCCAACTTCTGGGTTCAGCTCCTCGTCAAGAACTCATTATTAAATTCAACTTCACAAGATATTTTTGGGTACTTACTATGTGTTTGGTACCTGGGAATAAAGAAGGTATAGGCCCTAGCCCAAGGACAGGGATATCATATCCTAGCCCTTAAACAACTCCTTATCTAGTAGGGACACACATATTATAGTTTATAGGTACAAACATTGAAACTAACATGAGCTATGGTGATACAGAAAGGAGAATAGTTAGTGCTGACTAGGGTAGTTAGGAACGGCTTCCCAAAGGAGATGCTAGGGCTTGATAGGATAAGTAAAGACTCACTAGGCAGAAAAGAGGGGGAAAGGGCTTTACAGAGACAAGGAATATAGCGCTCCAAGATATGAAAATGTGAAATAGAATGCTGTTTTTGGAACAATAGTGAGTAGATCAGATTTGTTGTTGTTAGTTGCCATTGAGTTAGCTCCGACTTATGGAGACCCCGTGTACAACAGACAAAATGTTTCCCGGGCTAGCGCCATCTTCACAACTGCTGGTATCTCAAGTCCATTGTTGTAGCCACTGTGCATTTTTAGTGCCTTCCAACCTAAGAGACTCCTCATCTAACACTATATTAGACAATACTCTGTTGTGATATGTAGGGTCTTTATTGGCTAATTTTCAGAAATAGATCAGCAGTCCTTCTTTCCCTAGCCTATCTTAATCTGGAACCTCTGCTGAAACCTGTCCATCATGAGTGACCCTGTTGGTATTTGAAATACCGGTGGCATAGCTTCAGCATCATAGCTACGTGCAATCAACCACAGTATGACAAACTGACAGATGGGTGGTGTAGCTCAGATTTACTGAGAGTAAAATGTGCAGATGAGGCTGAGTGAGCAGGTCCTGCTTATAGAGCCCTGGGTGCCAAGCTAGGAATTATATCCCATATGGCACACTTGTTGATGTTGTTGGTTGCTGTTGAGTTGATTCTGACTCATAGCAACCCTATGTGTGCAGAGTAGAACTGCTCCATAGGGTTTTCAAGGCTGTGACCTTTTGGAAGCAGATCACCAGGCCTGTCTTCCAAGGCACCTCTGAGTGGGTTAGAATCACCAACTTTCAGTTAGTAGCTGAGTGCTTAACTGTTATGCCACCCAGGAACCCCTGCCAAGATAGGAATTAGATCCCATATGGTGCACTTGGGGAGCCAGTAAGGGTCTTATGCAGGATGTGACATGATAAAGTTTGTTTTTAGAAAGCTCACTCTGGAAGCACCTGCTGGAGGATGGGTTAGAGGAGGAGGAGACTCAAGGCAGTTGAGAGACTATTACAACAGTCCAGACAAAAGATAGTGAGGGCCTGGAATGAGGTATCCACAGTGATAACGCTGAGAAAAGGATAATTCTGCTTGATGGGTTCAGACAAAGAACAACAGTTCACCTATTCCTTCTGCAGCTGGACTTTGAGTTTGATGTACATAGATTTGCAGGTAAATAAAGAGGACCATCATGTTCTTTAAAATAAGTACTAGTGGAAGAATATTAAAATCATAGAATTATAGAATGTTAAAATTGGAAAATATCCTAAGAGGCTTGTTATGGTTTGAACTGTGTCTCCCCACCCCCACCCCCCAATATGTTGTAAATCCCAAACCTGATATCTGTGTATATAATCCTATTTGGGAATAGGATTTTCTTTGTTATGTTAATAAGGCCATATCAGTGCGGGGCATATTTTAAACCAATCACTTTTGAGATATAAAAACAGTAGATCAGACACACAAGCAAGGAAGCATGGATGGGGGAAGACAGATGCCACACCACGTGAAGACTGCCAAGAAACCTAGGAACAGAAGCTGAAAAGAGACAAGGACTTTCCCCAAAGTTGATAGAGGCAGAAAGCCTTTCCTAGAGACAGTGCCCTGAATTCAGACTTCTAACCTCCTAACCTGTGAGAAAGTAAATTTCTATGTTGAAGCCACCCACTTATTGTATTTCTGATATAGTAGCACTAAGAAACTAAGACAAAGACTAGTCCAACTCGCTCATTTTACCTACAAGTCAGTTGGCTAATTAATGGCAAATTCCAGCCTGGTAGTCGTGTCCCCAGCCAGTGAGACACTGAGTGGTTTCATGGGTATTATTAAGGCTTAAATGTGTTTTTTTGGAAAAGATCTCTCTTAAATAGCTTCAAAGATGATGTCGAATGCCTAAGTTGATTTAAAACAAACAAAAAAATCCTATAAGCATTACATATTGTCAGCCTATTAGGTTTAGAGTAAATTTCATTTTCACACAATGTAAATTTTTAGCAGCTAAAATTTGAGTATGTTTTATAAAGCACTTTCACCTATCATCTCATTTAATCTTCACATCAGTTCTGGGAGGTGGAGATAGTAAGAAAATGGCTGATTGTCCCAAAGTTACCAAGTGATAGAGTCAAAGTCAAACTACAAGGCTTCCAGTTCCAAATCCTGTGTTATCCTCTGCATTTTGCCCTATTAGTGACTTCACCAGCTAATGGTGGGAACTATTCAGGATATACTGAGATTATGAATGAAGAAAAGTCTGGGCATTGGGATTGCCTGAATACTATTCAAGAAGTGTTGGCTTGAGATAGCAGTGTGAGTACCTGCCAGAAGTTCTATTTCCAGGAAAGAAAGACTAGTGATACAATAATGTAAATAGTCTAATTCATTCAAACAAAGATTTATATTCAGAAAGTTTGCAAGTAGAAAAAAGAACCTATAAAATGACATTTGTTACATCTCCTCCATAGCTGCCTCTTGAGTCCTAAAGAATAAGATTTACTAATAAAAGAAACATTTATAGCCTCAGAAGAACCAACTCAGCTGCTGCTGGACAAGCTGAGTCCACTTCTGTTTATGTATCATCCTAGAATTTTCTATCTCAATTCTTACTGCAGGATTTTTATGGTTGGTAAGAAAAATCATATCTTGGGGTAGTGATACAATTTGGTTTTTGTCATTTTTTATTTGGGGTTTTTGTTATTTCTTTTCTTTCTTTCTTTTTTATCTTTTAAGATACCAGAGATCATGCACGTAGTTGCAGGGAGACAAACATTGCCGACAATTTAACAAAGGAAGAAGATCTACTTCTGGAAGACTAGCTGTTGTTGTGTGCCCTCGAGTTAACTCCGGCTCATCAAAAAAAAAAAAAAACCCAAATCCGTTGCCGTGGAGTTGATTCCAACTCATAGTGACCCTATAGGACAGAACAGAACTGCCCCATAGGGTTTCCTAGGCTATAATATTTACAGAAGCAGAAGCCCAGGTCTTTTCTCCTGTGGAACGACAGATGGGTTCAAACCACCAACCTTCCAGTTAGCAGTTGAATGCTTAACCTTTATGCCACCAGGGCTCCTTGGAAGATGAGCTCCCAAATGCTAATTATCAAAAAGTGGCTAACAGTATTATATCAATCACAGTTGTGTCATGCATCTGGCCTAATGTGAAAGAAAAAGAGGCAATTAAAAAAAAGGAGAAAGAAAAAGGAAGCCTAGTTGCTTTTATAGACTAACAAATGACAGTGGTTTTAAAAATAGTAACCTTTCGGATTCTTAATAAAGTAGCAGGAGAGCGAAATCCAGTCTCAACCAGGAGAAGACCTCAGCGTATCAGCAGTGAAGCCCTGCATTTCTAAGGCTTACAAAGCTTAAGGTCATTCTCTATTTATTTCATGTCCTAAAAGTACTTAAGAGTCAAGGATAGTGACTCAAAGGTAAACATTAGCCTTTCATCTCTCTGACCAGGCTGAAGGCAAATTCATGACCAACCCCTAATCCAGGCCATAAAACGTATGTATGTTTGGTCTCAGGACAGACACCAGAAAGACAGCAAATAATGGCTGTCTCCCCATCTGTATTAAATGTTTCTCCACTAGAGCTGTGATTCTGGGTGTGGGAAATAGTTTTCCACACTAATAACATTTGTGCTGTATATGAAGAGTCTGAATTATAAGGAACCCAAAATAAACATATCTAATGTGAATAACTAAAACCAAACCAAACCATTGCCATCGAGTCGATTCCAACTCAGAGTAGAACTGCCCTATAGCCATAGGGTTTCCAAGGCTGTAAATCTTTACAGAAGCAGGCTGCCATATCTTTCTCCTGCAAACTGGCTGGTAGGTTCTAACTCCTGATCTTTTTGTTAGCTGTTGCGCACTTAACCACTATGCCATTAGGGGTCCTTAATGTGAATAGAAACAGTAATTACTAATTTATTGTCATATTTTATATCAACTTCATACAGTGAAATAATTAGGATTCTTATATTAATTTGTCCATATGCCCTCACCTTTCTTCTCTACATTTCAGTAAGTCCATAAATTCACACTCTATTATCTCAGAGAAAAATAAACACAGGGTCTTGCAGTACCTCAGGGTAATAATTCTAAACTTTACTTTTCATAGTACAATATGTTCCAAATAACAAAAAAAATCTAGGACATTAAGCTGATATGTACAAAACTTCTAACAGACCATGGAAGCTGTTTTGTGTTGGTTTGTTTCTTTTTCCCTTCACTTAATAAATCCCCGAAATAAAAAGAGGAACAATCTGTGTGAATTCCTAATAAGATACAACTTCAAATTATGTACGTTGTACCTAAGATAGTGCAGAACTTCAAAAAAAAATGGGAACATTAGTTTTGTTTTTCTTTCTTATTGTGATAAAAGTATATACCATACAATTTGCCATTTTAATGATTTTAAGTGTTCAGTTGAGAACAGTATCAGCTTTTCATTTATTTTCTATTTATGTGTATTAAAATTTGAAATCAACACTTAAATAAAATAGAAAAATCCAATTCATAGCAAAAGATGTCTGTTTCAAATCAACAACCCCTCAAGTTCAAACCAAAAATTGTGTTAATTAAAATTATTCTTTTAAAACGTCAGCATTGAGGGTCTTTGTCTTGTTCAGAAGGATGCATAACCCATTGCCATCGAGTCGATTCCAACTCATAAATACCAAATATCTTTAGATTTTTATTTGGAAAAAAAAAAAGTATCATTATGTATTGAGACTGCCGTATCTTTCTCCTGAAGAGCAGCTGGCGGGTTCCAACCACTGAACTTCAAGTTAGCAGCCAAGCGCTTTACCACTGCACAGCCAGGGCTCCTTTGGTTTCCTAAAAAAAACAACCCATTGCTGTGCAGTCATTTCAGACTCATAGCTTCCCTATAGGATAGAATAGAACTGCCTCAAAGTGTTTCCAAGGATCAGCTGAAGGATTCAAACTGCTGACCTTTTGTTTAGCAGGCGAGCTCTTAACCACTGCACCACCAGGGTCACCTTTAAGTCAAGCAATAGCCTAGTAAGCAGCTTAGTGGAGACCATTTTGCCTTAGGTATTGGGCTCTTTTGGAGAACTATCTATGTGCAGTCAGTTTAGAGAAACAGGAACTCCAGGGTTGGACTGAAAGCTGTGTTTTATGGTAAATAGTTACTACGTAAATACTGTTGCCCAGCCTTTTTCCATGGGAATGCAGATAAGATGGGGTACAAGTGTCTTTAGAATACTTTTGACTCCCTAGTCAAAATGTTACCCTGGTTTGCAAATCATATATTCAATAGACTTCCATCAATTTCTATTACTGGCTTAGTATGCTTTTGTTTTAACAGTACATATGTTAAAAAATAAAAAATTATGGGTGACCACTGGAAAAAAAAAAGTAAATTCCAAACCAGCAAAGGAAATATGGGGGGAGGGGGTGTTGAATAAAAACAAAAATAAAGTTATTCATGCCTACTCATGCCTTTATTATTTCCCAGCCTCTGTGCAATATTTGGAGACCCGGGTGGTGTTGTGGTTAAATGCTACGGCTGATAACTAAAAGGTTGGCAGTTCAAGTCCACCAGGGGCTCCTTGGAAACTCTGTGGCGCAGTTCTGCTCTGTACTATAGGGTTGCTATGAGTCAGAATCAACTCAAAGGCAACGGGTTTGGCTTGGTTTTTTTGGTGCAATATTTGATGCTGTTGCTTCCTCTCTACTTCCAAACATGCTCCTCTCTTAGCGTCCAAGATTCCTAGTTCTTCTGTGTAGCATGTGGTGATTTTGTATTTTGTTGTGGTCACATGTGCTAATTTCATCCCTCCTAATAGGGTCACTGTGAGTCGGAATCGACTCGACAGCAATGGGTGAATGATAGGGAGCTCTGGTGATGGCAATAGGTTTCTAAATGGTCCCACGCTCTATAAATCTATATTCCATATGCCACTCCTCACGGTGTACCTGACATGCGTACCAAAAATTCCCAAACCTATTGCCATCCAGTCGATTCCAACTCATGGTGACTCCACGTGTTACGGAGTAGAACTGCTCCATAGGATTTTCTTGACTTTAATCTTTACAGAAGCACATTACCAGACCTTTCTTCCATAGTACCACTGGGTAGGTTCATACTGGTAACCTTTAGGTTAATAGTCGAGCACAAACCATTTGCACCACCCACGGACATATTCTGGCACATAACCCAAACCAAACCCACTGCCGTCGAGTCAGTTCCAACTCAGAGCGACGCTACAGGACAGAGGAGAACTGCCCCCATATGGTTTCCAAGGCTGTAAGTCTTTACAGAAGCAGACTGCCACATTTTTCTCCTGCAGACCATCAGGTGGGTTTGAACCACTGATGTTTTGTTAGCAGCCGAGTGCTTTCAACCATTGTGCCACCAGGGCTCCTTTTCTGGTACATATGTTGCTGGTATTGTGTGCTGTTGAGTAGATTCTAACTCACGGGGACCTATAGCACAGGATAGAACTGTCCCATAGGGTTTCCTAGGCCGTAATCTTTACAGCAGCAGATCGCCAGGTCTTTTGTCGTATGGAGGGACTGGTGGGTTTGAAACTGCCAACCATTTGGTTAGCAGCTGAGCACTTAACCTTCGCACCACCAGGGCTCCTTCTGGCACATATAGGCACTCAGTATTGTTTAACTGAACTATCGTAAGTATTGTAAAAGCTTCTGTCATGAATCTATTGACCTCAGACTAAGTGTAGTGACATTACACATGGGCCAGCTTTAGGTGCGCCATCTGTACAGGTGCACAGAGTCCCATGCTTGCTCCAAAAAACACCTCCCCACACATACTTGCCATCTCAAAATTCTTAATAATTTTTTGAGCAAGGGGCCCTGCATTTTCATTTTGCACTGGACTCTGTCAATTATGTAGCCAGTCTCAATTACACAATGCCATCTCTATGCACCACCATAGCACAAACAAACAAAAACAAATGATGTGACCAGTTTTTCCGACGTTAGAGGAAGGAAGAATTTCCTCGGTAAGGCCCAGTCTCAAAATAACTTGCATCGTTGTTGTTATTAATTGCCATTGCGTCAATTCCATCTCATGATGACTGCATGTGTGCAGAGTAGAATTGCTCCATAGGGTTTTCAAGGCTGTGACCTTTCGGAAGCAGACCACCAAGCCATTTTTCTAAGGCACCTTTGGGTGGGTTTGAACCACCAACCTTTCAGTGAGTAGTCCAGCACTTAACCATTTGTGCCACCCAGAGATTCCCTTGAATTTTAAAAATGGAGGCAACTTTAAATAGCTTTGAATGTATTGACGCATGCTCACAGAGTCTTCACCCTTCAGTCACTCACACCCTTTAAATAAAGGTCGGTTGCTTTACAATACAGGGCCCTGGGGGCACTGTGGTTAAACTTTTGGCTGATAACCCAAAGGTCAGCAGTTCGAATCCACCAGCCACTCGTTGGAAACCCTATCGGCCAGTTCTACTCTGTCCTATAGGGTCGCTATGAGTTGGAATTGACTCAAGGGCAACAGGTTTTGCATTACAATACACTCCAGAGGATCATCCAAATCCTTCAGTCATACTGGAATATCATGAATCCCCCATTATTTTAAATAAAGAGTCATGAGTTGTGTGTTGGAAGTCTTTGTTTTCTTTCTTTTTATTTATTTTTTAACAGCTTTTCCATTTTAATATTTATTGTAACAAGACTTGGATGTACCCTGTCACTTTTAAAGTAAAAACTGCCTCATTCTCCACCCAATTTCCTCACATACTTGCAAAAGTTTTCAAAGATTTTATTCGAAGCTCTAAAGAAGGCTGAGA